TCTTGGGATACTTAAATCCAATAATGATTTGAACTTCACTGATATAACCCAAAACAACGGGACACTAACCGTAGACCATAGGATTCACAGTTCAGCACACTAACGACCCCCCCCCCGGAAGTATTTGTTATGGACTTCAAGCCGGTATATCTTACCGGAAGTGTTGGTTATGTACATCACACCGTTATATCTTACCGGAGGTGTTGATTATGTACTTCACGCCAGTATATCTTACCGGAGGTGTTGGTTATATACGTGACACCGTTATATCTTACCGGAAGTGTTGATTATGTACCTGACACCGTTATATCTTACCGGAAGTGTTGATTATGTACCTGACACCGGTATATCTTACCGGAAGTATTGATTATGTACCTGACTCCGGTATATCTTACCGGAAGTGTTGGTTATGTACCTGACACCGTTATATCGTATCGGAGGTGTTGATTAGGTACTTCACGCCAGTATATCTTACCGGAGGTGTTGGTTATGTACATCACACTGTTATATCTTACCGGAAGTGTTGGTTATGTACCTGACACCAACATATCTTACCGGAAGTGTTGGTTATGTACTTCACGCCAGTATATCTTACCGGAAGTGTTGATTATGTACCTGACGCCGGTATATCACCTTTATTTCACACCATAAAAACTTGTAGTTCATAACCTTATTTTCCTGCGATTCACCTTTATTTCAAACCATAAAAACTTGTAGTTCATAACCTTATTTTCCCGCGATTCACCTTTATTTCAAACCATAAAAACTTGTAGTTCATAACCTTATTTTCCTGCGATTCACAGCTCTATTTATCAGCATAATATTAATGTGTTTTTCAAACATACAAATATTTATAAAACAGAGACGACGATTGGAAGAAAGAACGATGTAGACAGAGGACACTCTGGATATGTTCTGAGGTTTGCCCAAAAGAGTTTATCTACATTTAGAAATAGAAGAAATGTGAGGAGGTATCAGTGACCCTCCCCCCTTCTCTAGAAGTTTCTTCAAGGTACTACATGTGCCTTCGACCTAGTGGAACCAATTATACTGGACACTATGACGAACTGCTGTCCCCCAAGAAAGCTCATTTTTACTGGAAAAACGTCCACTACATTTCAAGCTTTCATTTATATATTTACTTTCACTTCGGTCTAGTACCCCCCCCCCCATCACGCGATAAATTTTTTTTTAGACTTCGAACCGGTTTTGTTTGATTGTAGAGAACATTTTCCTTACTTAGTTAGCTTACAAATTTAATCTTTTGAAAACGAACGGCGTGGCAACGGTTTCTGGAGTTTCGTGTTTTCAAAGTACGGTTGAGAAAAGACGTTGCTTTTGTATACCGCCACCTGAGTGGCAGCTGTGCTATGTAATTAACTACGGTGTCAAACTCGTGGTACGGTGTTTGTTTAACAAATACGTTATATACGGGATGTAATTCAAGGCCAGAATGGAGGTGAGGGTTTGATTTCCAGGTCGAAGTTGAAGGTCAACCAGGTCCAGCAGCAGAGTTTAAAAGAGACATCAAATTTGTTTAGTTTGGTGAAGCCATTAAACTGAAAACCAATTAAAACATCAGAAAAACATTCTTACCCCCCTCTGTATAAAACATTCTTACCCCCCTCTGTATAAAACATTCTTACCCTCCTCTGTATAAAACATTCTTACCCTCCTCTGTATAAAACATTCTTACCCCCCTCTGTAAAACAATCTTACACCCTCTGTATAAAACATTCTTACCCCCTCTGTATAAAACATTCTTACCTCCCTCTGTATAAAACATTCTTACCCTCCTCTGTATAAAACATTCTTACCCTCCTCTGTATAAAACATTCTTACCCTCCCTCTGTATAAAACATTATTACCCCCTCTGTATAAAACATTCTTACCCCCCTCTGTATAAAACATTCTTACCCCCTATGTATAAAACATTCTTACCCCCTCTGTATAAAACAATCTTACCCCCTCTGTATAAAACAATCTTACCCCCTCTGTATAAAACAATCTTACCCCCTCTGTATAAAACATTCTTACCCCCTCTGTATAAAACATTCTTACCCCCTATGTATAAAACATTCTTACCCCCTCTGTATAAAACAATCTTACCCCCTCTGTATAAAACAATCTTACCCCCTCTGTATACAACACCTTATCAATAAAACACACAATCTTAGTAATCTGTTTAACGCATCTGAAAAGCAACATTATCAATATAAAAAACGATGTTAATAGCAATCTTAACCACCTGAAAAACTACGTCTTATTTACCAGTAAAATAATATTGCTCATCTGTAAAAGGTTCATACCCCTCTGAAAATAAATCTTATTTTTCCAAAAAGCAGTCTTACTTAAGTGTAAAACGTTCTTACCCATCTGTATTTCAACAACGTGTGGGGTTCGCTTGTGGATTCTCATACACTTGTACCCCCGGTTTCCAAACTTGCTGTAAGGGAAAAGGAGCTCATAAGAACGTATATTTTCTATTGGTGATTACACTAAACACAAATAGGCTGCAACCAAATGTTTCTTAATTTATAAAATTTCATGGGAAAAAAACTGGTATCCTTCCTACAAGTACAAATACAACTGGATCTAATAAACAAACATAGAATAATATACGAAATTCTCATATTCAAGTTTAACAGCTGAAGTGGGAAGACACTAAAGATAAAAACGGAACAAACGGAAGATGTAAACATGAGTGGTTTAGTTTCACACTCACCTGGCCACGTGATTTATTTGTGTGTGTTCTGACCTGTCAGACTGAGAACGATTTTGCTACTCAAAATTCTAGAATCCTAAAAAAAGGGGTCACTCCTTAAAAAGGAAGTATGTTCTGCCCCCATCTTCCAAAACGAACTTGCACCAAGGGACCGCTAAATTCAATTAACATCAAACGTTAGAATATCCGTCAACCCCCCAATTCCCCGCCCCTCCTTAAAAAAAAAAAAAAAAGATCAAATTTCAACTTACCATCCCGACGTCACCTGAACCGTTGCTTCATACAGAGAATCCTCCAGTTTCCGGATCCTGTTACAAGATACTCTGACACTGTCACCCTCTCGGGAACTATTTATCATGCGGAAGGACTTGAACTTGTTGTCTGTGTTATAAAACGTAGAGCCGTCCAAAGACTGCCAGTGTGCATGTTCAGTAAACCATTCCGGGAAACGACACTTGGCCCCGGAAAAATTCTCTGCCAAACAAAATTCACTAGAGATAACTTCAAAATTAACGGATAAATATTTACAAAACTACCTTGAGGTTGTATAACTTCTAAATATTATCTAGTAGTTTAGTTGGTGTTATATTACCTAGTAGTTTAGTTGGTGTTATATAACCCATTAGTTTAGTTGGTGTTATATAACCCATTAGTTTAGTTGGTATTATACCACCTAGTAGTTTAGTTGGTATTATACCACCTAGTAGTTTAGTTGGTATTATACCACCTAGTAGTTTAGTTGGTGTTATACTACCTAGTAGTTTAGTTGGTGTTATACTACCTAGTAGTTTAGTTGGTGTTATATACCTAGTAGTTTAGTTGGTGTTATACTACCTAGTAGTTTAGTTGGTGTTATATTACCTAGTAGTTTAGTTGGTGTTATACTACCTAGTAGTTTAGTTGGTGTTATATTACCTAGTAGTTTAGTTGGTGTTATACTACCTAGTAGTT